GACAAGCACTCTTAACTCTGCAATTTGTCCAGCTCCTGAGACCTACTTCTAGGATAACAAAAAAATTACAAGTATTGACATTCTCACAGAGCAAGAGTACAGAACTGCAACACAGCATCATAAATAGTTCTAATTTAGAAAGTCAAGATTGCAGCAAGAACGTACAACTCGCTCACCTTCCTTTTAAATTATTTGACTACACTAAATATGTCAAGGTATTACAAGGATAGAGATAATAACCCGACGTGGTGAAAGCAGGTAGATGTCAATGACTTTGAAGCCAACTTGATCTGCAAAGTGAGTTATAGGCCAGCCAAGGCTACATAGTGCAACCCTGTCTCAAAGACAACAACAAAAGAAGAAGAAAGGTAAGATAGGCATGGACTCACACCTGTAATTCTCAGCACCCAGGGGGATGGGAAGGAGGGCCATGAATTAGTAGCTATCCAGAGTAATATAACAAGACCATCTATCATCTCTATCTATCTATCCATCTATCTATCTATCTATCTATCTATCTATCTATCTATCTATCTATCTCTATCTCTATCTATCTATCATCTATCTATCTATCTCTATCTATCTATCTATCTATCTATCTATCTATCTATCTATCTCTGTCTATCATCCATTCATATATCTTTCTATGTTATTATTATTCATCCATCTGTCTATCATCTATCATCCATATATATCCATCTGTCCATCTATCCATTCATCTATCATCTATCTATGTATCTATCTATCTATCTATCATCTTTCTATCTATCTATCTATCTATCTATCTATCTATCTATCTATCTATCTTTCTATCTATCTTTCTATCATCTATATATCTATCTCTTTTAGAAAGGAGTTTACAGAGAGGGAAGATGGCAGATTTTAGGCTCTCAAAAAATACCCGAATCTTCATTCGCCTGAAAGAGCATTGAAAGTGCATAGCTCCAGGGAGGAACAGGTAACACGGAACAGCACAGGAGCACAACAGACAAACTATGTGAACCCAAAAAACTTCAGATGTGTGTAATCAGCAGAGGGCTCTAATATTGGACAACACAGAAGGGAAGGAAAAGACACCTCCCCACTGTGGTATTAGCAAGAAGAGGAAGGCTCCATGGGTACACAGCCTGGACTGCTTGCTGTACAGCATAGTTTCTGAGTGAAAGGGTGTCTGTGATCTATCACGGGCACTACAATGAAGAGCTTCATAAGCGTCTTCCCAGCAAATCCTTCAGCAAGAGGCCCTGGGTGTTTATATCCACTCTTCTCCACTAGCTAAGTGAGTGTCCACCCGGAGAATCGGAAGACTGGTTGTGACTCACACGCTGGCTCGTAGACACTGTCTCCTCTGGGAAGCGTGGGCCAAGCTGAGAGAAGAGTGGAAAGTGCTTGGGGGTGGGAACTCTGACCCTACCTCTGGGAGGAGGATCAAGTCCAGTTGTGCAAAAATGGAGCAAGGGTTGGAACTGGGAATAGCATGGCCAGGATGTAGATGCCTGTACCCTGCTTTATCAGAAGAAATTGGTTCAGCTTGATTGCCTCTACCTCTCAGAGCCCGGGAGTCTACTGGTAGGAACACCCTACCTGGGCATTTCCCACTGCCATGCCCATATGCAGAGTGCTGATGTTATCAGGCAGACCCCAAGTAACTGGTCCTCCATACTGGCTAATGGCAACAGCCTGAGGCCGCCCATGTACTCCCCTGGCAGCTCTGTTGGGATAAACATGGAGAACTCTGACAGGAAGCCGGCCTAACTGCCATGATAGTGCACAGCTCAGCAGGATGGAGTATAACCTGCAACAGTCCTTTGGGGCCAACTTGTGTGTCTTCTATACCAAGTACACTTCAAAGAGATGTTGGCGGGGTAGGGGGCACATAGCATCCACATCTTCTTCCTTTTCAGCAGAAGAATAATATTGGTTTTTCTTGCTCTGTATTGGTTTTCTTGTGTTTTTCATTTGTTGTTATTTCTTTAAATTCAGAAATTACTTTTTTAAACTTTTTTAAATCTTATTTTAAAAGATTTTAATATATATATATATATATCCTATGTATAAGTGCTCTAAAGATATACCTGCACGCCAGAAAAGAGCATCAGATCCTATTACAGATGGTTGTGAACCACCATGTGGTTGCTGGGAATTGAACTCAGGACCTCTGGAAGAGCAGCCAGTGTTCTTAACGCCTGAGCCCATCTCTCCAGTCCCCTCATTGTTATTTCTTATACCTTCAGCTCACAAGTCTTCCCACCTTGATTCTTTTAGTTTCTTTTCCCTGTCTGCATTTCTCTTTTAATGTAGTTATTAATGCCTTTACCTTTACTAATGTTTAAAATCCCAGTTCATCTGAGAATTATCCTCAGCCCTTTTCCCTAGTTGCTTATTGAGGAGGTAGCTGCTGCCTTCAGTTATTTTTCTATCACATTTAGACATCTGGTTTGCTTCTCAGTTGTCGTTATTAAGATCTCCATTCTCCCCTCTGAATGGCAGTGGGGACTGAGAGCTAAAATTGAAAGTAACACACATATCCAAAGATGCCCAAGCACAATGTAGACATAGAATAAAGATGAAAGGCAATAAAATTCGACTCTTAAAAAAGTTCATAACTCCTCAGCAATCAAGTCAAAACATATTAAAATAGTTATAATGTGTGCTGGTTTGAAGAGGTATAGTCCGCAGACTCAGGTGCTTGAATGTTTGGTCCATAAGGAGTGTTACTATTGGGAGGTGTGTGTCACTGTGGAAGCAGGTTTTGGGGTCTTTTATATGTTCAAGCTATGCCCAGTACACAGTTTATTTCCTGCTGCCTGAGAATCAAGATGTAGAACTCTCAGCTCCTTCTCTAGCACCATGTCTGCTTGTGTGCCACATGCTTCTCACCCTGAAAATAGACTAAACCTCTGAACTGTAAGACAGCCCCAGGTAAATGTTTTCCTTTATAAAAAGTTGTCACAGTCATGCTGTCTCTTCACAGCCAAAGAAATCCGGACTGAGACAGCATGCCAGACGACTACTTGAAAGTCTACTACAGAAAAAAAATGATCCCAAGGAAGATGTACATGAACAAATGGAACAAGGAAAACAGTTCAAAGGAACACTGAACTGGAACAGAAATTCAGGACATTGTACAAGAAAAATTGGCAACAACATTGGAACTCTGTATGTTTCTGATTTTTTGGAAATGAAAAGGAAAAAATAAACAAATACATAAATAAAACAAATAAACAGAAAACCCTCAGTAGAAAGCATCATTGATGAGCAAAATCAAGTAGCTAAAGGAACATTAGGGATTGGAGAGTGAGGGGTTATCCCATTTAGAAAATTAAAAAAGTAAACTATCAGGATCAGTGTAATGGTCTGTCTTGTCCCTTTAAAAGACAAGCCTTGCCCACTCTGTCCACCCTGGAAACAGGGGGATCTTCCTTCTGCTTCCAGTCTGAGCTCGATTCCCTTTCCATTTCTCTCCCTTTTCACTACTACTCCCCTTCCCCCTCCTCTCTCTCTCTCTCTCTCTCTCTCTCTCTCTCTCTCTCTCTCTCTCTCTGTTCTTCACCCTTCTCCCCTTCTTTCCTTTCCCCTTCCCTTCCATAACCCACTAAATAACTATCCTCACTCTGCATGGTGTGCCTTATCCATCCGGGTCTCTCACTGGCCACATGGCTCCCTGCCTGGACCGGCTGCCTCCATGGCCCACCATGGTCTCATGGCCCGCTGCTAACTGCCACCCTTAAGGACTCGCAGCGTTTCTGCCGCTGTGGCCCTCACGGAACAGCGCCGTTTTACTTAAACCATAACAATCAGAACTTTTCAGAACATGAGCACACAAACAGGAGACCTCTCCTGAGAAACTACAGAAACATTTTAAGACCTAGGCTCAGGCAATGTAACTTTCTTTTTTTTTTTTTTTTTAACTATACCTTTTTTTTCTTTCCACTTTATTTTATTTTGAGGCATGGCCTCTTTTATGTAGCTCTGTCTGTCCTAAATGCACACAGATCCTCCCAAGTGCTGGGATTAAAGAACTGCACCACCACAGCCAGCTTCTAAATATAACTTTCTTAAGGCAACTCTAATACCTCAGCATCTAACAGGAAGTTTGGCAAGAGGGATGATGTTAAGATGAAGTGTTTCCACACTTCAAAGGACACAAGAGCCTCTGACTCTATCCATTCTCCTATAAATGATAACATTCATGTGAGGTGGCTTAACAGGTAAGGGCACTTGCTGCCAAGTCCGATGACCTAACTTTGACTCCATGGGCTCATATGGTGGAAAGAGAGAATTGAAGCCTGCAAGTCATCCTCTGACTTCTGGTCTCCACCCACACACGCACGTGCCCACACAGAACAGATTCACTCTGGTTTCCTTTGAAATGCAGAAGCACTTCATTTTAGTGTGTTAAGTCAAACAAGTATCCTGCTTCCTCTAATATGTGGGATGTAGGAGGAGAAGCCACCGACAGAAGCCAGTGGGAACTACAAGGGATATGGAAAGGGACAGGGCATAGAGGACTAAGAGAGAATGAGAAGGGGTGAGATATGACCAAAGAGCCGTGTTCTATGCCAGGAAACACTGCAGTGGATCCCTCTGTGCAATTAAATATAGACTAATTTTAAAAAAGAAAGCGACTTTATTAGAGTTTTAGAAAGAAATCCCAGGAGGGGAAAATGTAACTGGAAGTCACTGAGAAGACGTGTTTCATGATGCTGCAAGATTCGATCCCCTGACGAGAACCCTAAGAATCAGATGAGCGAGTGCAGACGGAGACACATGGAGAGGGAACCGAAGACCCTGAAGAGCTTCAGTGACCCATGGTGCAGTATCCCATGATGTCAAAATAACAGGGAGAAGACAGGCAAAAACTCTAGCTTTGAATAATGACTGAGAATATTTCCAGTTTAGAAGTCCACGAATCCGGAAAAATCCATGCACTCAAGTTCCTTTCCCCAGCTGTTACTGGGCTTCTTAAATTGCTTAGAACAGAATGAAACTCAACATACCTTCCAGTAAGTCATTAAACGATTGGCCCCACTTGGCAAAATAAACGGAGCCACCTCCGGCCCAGGGAAAGCAAATCAGCTTAAAAACTGCATTAGGCTTTTGGTACAAGCAGTTCAAGATGTTTTCATTCCTAGAACGAAAATTCAATTACATTTAGCATCACAGAATTATATCAGATAAGAGTTCGAGATTGAATTAGGTGTGTTTTCATGATAATTCCCATTTACTTACATAGTGCACGTGTTCAAACATGAAGTAATTGCCTTTCTTTTTCCAAGAAGCAAGGTCCCAAAGGTTTAACTGGTCTATGTGTTATGATTTGAATTCAACAGGACATAGATAGAATGATGAAGTGTCTATTTCGTTTTGTATGTTCGATTATAGAAATGTAACTCTCAATTCAGACACGCCTTCTTTCACAGTTGAGGAAATGGTTTTATTCAAGCAGTTCGTAGGCTTTAGTCTCAGGGCATCCACCACCACCAAGAGACACTTCCTAAATCACCTACAAATTTTCCACGACGTGAAATTTTACTACTTTTTAAGTGTTTGCTAGACAATGCTTTTGAAATTTACAGCAAGATCAAGCATTACAAGAACTGACCATAGAAGACACTCTGTTTTAAACAGCCATCCTATATGGATATGTGATATATTTTTATTCTCCACAATTTAAACCTCTCTTGACAAGCTTCCAAACTGATCCTTAAATTTCTTACAAAGATATGTAAGCCTCCCAGGCGAGAAACCATACTCCTTACAATATTTTAAGTCTGTTTTGTCTTTTTTTAAAAGGTATCAGTATCACAATTTGGATTGTAAATGTTCCTCAAAATTCATGTTTTAAAGGCTTGGTCCCCAAATGATGGTGTTATTGGGAGCTGGAGGAACCTTCAAGAAGTGGAAACTGGTGGAAGGAAGGGAGGTGACTATAGGTATTCCATTGAAGGGGATCTTGGCATTCTGGCCTACTTTCTTTCTCAGCCTTTTTCCTCCCCCCTTTCCTCCCTCACTCTGCCATGCATTCCCTTGCATGTCCACTTTTCTACAGGACCAACATAGCAGGGCTCAAGAACTATGGACTGAAAAAAAATGTGATTTTCTCCAGCAGTGGTAGCACACGCCTTTAATCCCAGGACTAGGGAGGCAGAGGCAAGAGGACCCCTGTGAGTTCAAGGCCAGCCTGGTCTACAAGAGATAGTTCCAGGGCGGGCAACAAAGTGACACAGAGAAACCCTATCTCGAAAAACCAAAAAAAAAAGTGATTTTTGTACGAATAAATGTTTTTCCTGAACATATGTGTGCCACGTGCATGCAGTCCCCACAGCAGCCAGAAAAGGGTATCAGAACTACTAGACCTGAAGTTACAGGTTATCAGCATCATCTGGGTGCTGAGAACTAAACCTGGCTTCTTTGTAAGAGTAACAAGTGCCCTTAACTGCTGAGCCATCCCTCCAATCAAATCTTTTCTCTTTCACATTTATGTTTTGACATTTGGTCTTGATAAACAGTTTTTAAAAAATGACAAACTGAGATCTTTCTAGATACTCTGTTCTCACAGAGGACTTTGACTTTATAATAAAATAACTGAGACCATGAGGAAAGTGAGACCCTTAATACATGGTCATGGGTGAAAGTTTCTTTGGGATAAAGAAAAAATGGAGCCGGAGGAGAAGCCCACAAAGTGCTACGACCTAGCTCACTACCAGTCACCTCAGCATCGCTTGGGACAGTCGGTCCAGCTACACCTCAGAGCTGGGAACTCCTTTTTAGTTATCGGTTTCCTGTCGGCTTTATGATACCCAAGCGTGGGAACCCAGGCCAGAGTAGGAACAGGCCCAGGTCAGCGACCTCTACCGGAGCAGGTCCAAGCAGGTGAGCTCCTCCAGAGTAGGCCCTAATCAGCCACCTATGCTGGACCAGGCCTGAGTCGGCGACCTCAGCAGGAGCAGGCCCAAGCAAGCAATCTCTGTGGGAGCAGGTCTAAACAACCTCTGGGATTGCAGAAGGACACCAGGTAATGCTGATCAACCTCTTGAACTCTGAATGACCTCCAGGGTGACTGGAACCATAGCCCTGACTGCACCATGAGGAGCAGCCATCTAAGCCTTGGACACACTGGCACCTGGACGACTGATACCAGAGACACAGCCCCAACCACATCAATGAGAGGAAAAGATGGGTAGACAAGGTAAGAACACACTCAACACCACAAAGAGCAGCACTACAACAGCAAGACTTGAACACCCCAAAACAGATGAAGTAGAAGAAAATGACTTAAACAATAACTTTAGGAGACTGTTTGAGGCCCTTAAAGAGGAAATGAAACTTTTTTCAAATAAATGAAGGAAAAGACAAACAAAAAATTGGAAGAAAACCAAGAAAAAGCAACCAAACATATGAAAGAAATGATTCAAGACTTAAACACTGAAATATGGACAATAGAGAAAACACAAACAGAATGAATTCTGGAAGTGGAAAAATATGGGGGAATGATCAGGTTTATGCAAGCATAAACACCAGAATAAAATAGATGGAAGAGAGAATCTCAAGAAAATTTTAAATCTAACAAAAGCTTAACATAAAATACCCAGGAAATATGGGATACCATAAAAAGTCCAAACCTAAGAATAACAGGGATAGAAGAAGGAAAAGTCTAACTCAAAGGTACATAAAATATATTCAACAAAATCATAGAAGAAAACTTTCCCAACCTAAAGAAAGATATGCATATGAAGATACAAGAAGATTACAGAATATCAAGTAGATTGGACCAAAATTAATAGTTCCTTTGCCACATAATAATCAAAACACAGAGCATACAGAATAAAGAAAGAATATTAAAAGCTGCAAAGTATAAAGATCAAGTAACATATAAATGCAGACCTATCGGGATTATACCTGACTTCTCAATGGAAACAATTAAAGTCAGAAGATCCTGGTCAAGTGTTATGCAGACATCAAGAGACCACGGATGCCAGGCCAGACTACTAAACAGCAAAACTTTCAATCACCATAGACCAACAAAATGAGATATTGCATGGCAGAACCATATTTAACCAATACCTAGCCACAAACCCAGCCCTACACAAAATACTGGAAGGAAAAATCCAACCCAAGAAAGTTTGCTACATCCACAAAAACACAGACAATAGATGATCTCACCGTAGCAAACCCCAAAGAAAGGAAAAACACACACAATAACATCACCAACAATGAAAACTAAAATAACATGAACTAGCAATCACAGGTCATTAATATCCTTTAATATAAATGGATTCAACTCACCTATAAAAAGACACAAGCTAACAGATTGGATATGAAAACAGAAACACACCTCAACCTCAAAGACAGACATTACCTCAGAGTAAAGGGTTGGGAAAAAATTCCAATCAAATGGACCTAAGAAACAAGCTGGTGTAGCTATCCTAATAGCTAACACAATAGGCTTCAAACTAAAATCAATCAAAAGAGACAAAAAAGGACATTTCATATTAGTCACTGGAAAAATCCATCAAGAGGAAATCTCAATACTGAACGTCTGTGCCCCAAATACAAAGGCACCCTTATATATAAAAGAAACACTACTAAAGCTTAAATCATACATTAAACCCACGCACACTAATAATGGAAGACTTCAACACCCCACTCTCACCACTAGACAGGTCGGTCAGAAAGAAACTTAACAGAAATAAGGAAACTAACAGGTGCTATGACTCAAATGGACTTGAGTAGGTAGAATTAACATAGTAAAAATGGCAATCTTACCAAAAGCAATCTACAGATTAAATGTAATGCCCATCAAAATCCCAGAAAAAATTCTTCACAGACCTCAAAAGAAAAATGCTCAACTTCATATGGAAAAGCAAAAAAACCCAGGATAGCCAAAACAATTCTGTACAATAAAGGAACTTCTGGAGGCATCACAATCCCTGACTCCAAACTCTACTACACAGCTACAGTACTGAAAACAGCCTGGTATTGGCATAAGAACAGACAGGAGGACCAATGGAACCGAATAGAAGACCCGGATATCAGTCCACACACCTACCAAAGCCTGATTTTTGACAGATGCAAAAAATATACAAGGGAAAAAAGCATATTCAACAAATGGTGTTGGCATAACTGGATATCAACATGTAGAAGAATGAAAATAGATCCATATCTATCACCATGCACAAAACTCAAGTCCAAATGGATCAAAGACCTCAACATAAAACCAATCACACTGAACCTCACAGAAAAGAAAATGGGAAGTACACTTAAATGCATTAGCACAGGACACCACTTTTTAAATTTAACCCCAGTAGCACAGACACTGAGAAAAACAAAAATAAACAGGACCTCTTGAAACTGAGAAGCTTCTGTAAAGCAAAGGACACAGTCAACAAGACAAAACGACAGCCTACAGAATGGGAGAAGATCTTCACCAACCCCACATCAGATAGAGGGCTGATCTCCAAAATATACAAAGAACTCAAGAAATTTATCATCAAAAGAAAAATAATCCAATTAAAAAAAATGGAGTACAGACCTAAACAGAGAACTCTCAAAAGAGGAATCTAAAGTGGTTGAAAGACACTTAAGGAAATGCTCAACATCCTTAGCCATCAAAGAAATGCAAATCAAAAAACTCTGAGATGCCATCTAATACCTGTAAAAGAATGGCCAAGATCAAAAGCACTGATGACAGTTTATGCTGGAAAGGATGTGGGGTAAACCTGTCTAAATCTAATAAGGTAATCTAACAAAGCTGGGGGCCTGAAGCACCAAAGATGGGCTTAAAACAGCCAGGAATTCCCAGAGGTAGCCTACCTGGTTATCTTGGTGTGGACTCTTGTCTCCATGCTCTGAGTTGATGAGAAACGGTTGCTCTCAGCAATCTGCTGTGTCCTTGTTGAATTCAACTTTCCCTTAGACGTAAAGATCTCCTGTGAACCTTATATTTGGCTTCTGGAATGAGCGTAATCCCTTACGTGTATAGGGGAAGAATTAATATTAGCCATTGTGATAGCGTCACTGCAAACAGCCATTTGGCAGAGAGGTCAGGACTTCTTGGCAAACTGCAGCTAACGAAAACAACGTAGCTTTGAATTTGAATTTGTTGTTACTCAATAAACTCTGACATTTTGGAAATATGCAAAAATACCCATTTATGTTTCTACCACAGAGAACTCGTGAGGGTCAAGAAGCTCCACATCTCATGTTGATGATTTTATCATAACATGCTGTGAAACTAGGGAGGGGAAAGCTACCAGTAACTCCAAAGTAGGTATGTTTCTGACTCAAGATGGCTATTGATATGTCAATCCAGATCCTGGTAATAACTTGGTAAGCACTTAGTGTTCATATTGGCTGATGTGATGGTACAGTGTGAGCTTCTGGAAGGCTTCCAGGTTCTTGAATTCTAGAATTAAAAAGCTGAGTAGCGACACATAGTTATAGTAGAAACAAGGACAATCCACTGGGGGGGAAATGCGCTCCCCAGTGAGGCAATAGACCATAACAAAGAGAGTAGGGTTGGGAGCTCAAGATGTCCTTGGGGGACAAAGAACTAGGACTTTGACGCTACCACAGCATAAGCTTTTGGCTCATTTGTACAACATGAATTTTTTGTCTCCATTGCATAACATGCTTTTTTTTCCTGTGCAAGCTCTGTTACAAGTAGGAGTTCTGCACAAAATTTCATGCATCACATGGCTCTTACGCATCTTTAATCTACATCACGGTCTGCACAGTTGGCCTTGAGTGGGTAGGTGTCGTGTTTCCTCTTCTTCCTCTTGGCTAACCTGATTTTTTTTCCATGCACTAACTGCGTACAGCTTTACACAAAGCTCTCTAGATCTCACTCTGCCACATTCTCCTCCTTTAACATTAAGGGTCTTGGATTTGATCTGAAGAATGAGAATTCAAGATGGCGAGCTATCACAACCAATTGCTGCTCTCCTGTAAAACAGGTGAGCGTGGGCAAGCACTGAGGTTTAAATAAGCAGAGGATGAGCATGAGTCTATCTACAAGGTCGGTCACAAGACCATGACCAGACTCCGAAAGGAACAAACAATTCCCAGTTTAAATTTATTCTAAGTAAACATGGGAGAGAAAGTATATTTCAAGTCTGTCTATTAGGAGACAGAAAGAGAAGGACGTAAGCAAGAGCAGGTAGAGTAGATAAAATAATTGAACTCAGGACCCTGGGGGCCAATCCTGCATAGACAGACTCTCTTCTTTTTCTTTTCTTTTCTCTTCTCTTCTCTTTTTTTTTTTTTTTTTTTTTTTTTTTTTTTTTTGTATCTTGTTGGATATCCAGGCATCGAGGCATTCCATGACACGCTGGTGCCACAACTCAAATCACTTAGAGGCCACCCTACCTTTCATGAGCTGAGTCTGTCTGTATGCTGCTTGAACTAAGGCTCACTTTCTCCTTTTTCTCTTATCCTCTTTCTTTTTCTAGCTCAATAATCTTTTTTTAAACCTCTTTCTCTTCATTCATTTTGCCTCTCTAGTTGAAACCCTTTTAGTGTGTAGTGAGGGCCACAGGTGAGACATTCTTGGCTCCAAAGCCAAGGTATGATGTTTCTGCTTCTGCTGTTCCTTAACCATTAGTTGGTATTTTCTGCATTTCTACCCCTGTTTGTGACTGAAATGGTAGCCCAGACTGCTTCTTACAACTGTTCTCCCCATATTCTCCTCTCTATCCTCCACCTTGCCTACATCCCTCCAGCCTTGGGCTCTTTCTGTTCACTCAGTTCCCATCAAGGTCAACTCCTGCTTTGTGGGTGCCTCCTTTTCTTCTAAAGCTGACTCTGCCACAAGTGTGTGAGAGAAATTTTGACTATTTCCTTTCCTTTTGAAGTTAAAATGGAACTATTTTGTTTTCTGAAACATCTTTGGGGGCACACACTACTCATAGGAACAGGCTTCCCTCTGTTCGCCCTGTTGCTATGGGGTGTCCCATGAGCCTGTAAGACTTGGTCATATTAATTTTAGAAACCTTAGGGACACCTGATTTGACTTTGTTCCAATCTCTGGAATGTCCTTGTTTAACTTGAAGATGTCCCAATGAGACCAGATTACCAACCAAATTAATACTAAATTAAAGGGAAAACCCCCGTTTGTCCATATTAGCAGAAAGAATGAGGAAACTACTTGCCGTGGGAACTGCATCGTAGGTTCACCTATCCTTCCCTCCTCTGTGATTTTATTTACTATTCTCTTTTATCATTTACTTATTCATTTGTTCATCAGAATGACTGTAGATTTATTAAGGAGAAGTAAGAAAGAACTCCTGAGAGTAGGAGGGGCTCCAAGAGGAGAATTCTGGCAGCTCATTTAAAAACCCTCAGATCGGAATTCTGTTTCCCAGTCAGTCTCCTCCCTTGGTTTAAGTACATGATTAAGAAGATTTACTTGAGGATGGGCGTGAGAGCTGCCCGAACTCCAGATGTTGAATTACACAGAACCTGAAGTGGCTTCCAAGCCACACGAATCTTCTAAAAGTCACTAAGGGGGTACAGGAAGGAATTAGGTACCAGGCAAATGAATAACTCCTAATCTCTGGAATCTCATGGGCATCTCAGTTATTACAATTTGTTCTGGAGAAGCCCAAAGCACAGCAGGAACTGAAGGCAACCAGAAGGACAGATATGGCACTCAAGAGTAGCTGTGATCTTTATCCCTTATGTCCTTCCAGAAGGGAAATCAGCTTTCTGTATCAGTGGACGCCCCTTTAGAAAGCATCCCAAGAAATTCAGACCTATTGATCCTCAATTCCCATACCCCCAAACATTTTACTTTTCTTTTGTGACACCTGAGTGCTCTATAGCATCTAGAGGACAGTGAAGTGGCTTCCCCTAAAGGCAACCCGGACGATAACACTGTTCTCCAGTGAGATCTTTTCTATAAGTGATATGGAAAATGGTATGAAGTCCCCCACACAGAATAATTCTTTTGTTAAAGGGACAACAAGGATGGTTCTAGGAAATACAGCGTGGAGCTTTCCATTGTAGCCTCAGTAGAGACTGTCCCAGACACTCCCCTTAACGCTTGGGAGAAGCTTGCTTCTCTTAAGGTATCCCACGGGGAGCAAATAAATATGTCTTCCACTTCTCCAGTTGCCCTTTTCTCCCCTCCTCTACCTGCTCCAGCTCGATCCGTAGTCACTGCCCAAGCTGCCACCTTATCCTGAGTCTGCTGTTAGACTGTGGAAGCCACTTGTCGGCTTGCTTCCCCAAGGGCTACCCAAGAAGATGAACACTGACGGGGAAACGTTTTCCTTGTAAGATTTAAAGGAAATAAGAAGACTCAGGGAGTTTTTCTGATGACTAATAAAAATATAAAGATGAATTCTAACAAATAACTCGAACTTTTGAACTCTCCTGAGCAGACCTTCATACAGTACTTGAGCAGGCCATTACTCAGAATGAGAGATAGAATCACAGAGAATTCATAGATCCTTGACCTGTATCAAAAGGTGACTATCCTTCCAGACCTGTGGGTGTCAATGTCATGAGTCCTGATTGAGATTTTGAGGACAGATTGTCCCTCTGATCAGGAGAATTAGAACTGAGAGTTAAGCCCATCAATTAGACCAATTGTCTACCATTGAACAAGGACTCACTGAATACACCATTACTTGCCAAGATAAACACAAGGAGAAATTTCCAAAAGCACACATATTTGATACTAGAGTCCTCTGAAGGAGGATTAACCACCCCCAAAAGATGAGTTTAGCACTCAATCTGCCCTGGATATTAGAAGAAAATCACAAAAGATCTTGCAGGAACTTGGAACTTCTATCAATGACTGTTGTTTTATCTTGTTTACAGCTGAAGGGATCAGCGTGAGCACCGCCCACATGGGCTGCAGTTTCCTCTTGCTCATGGCCCGCATGGTAGTGTGGATCAACGACACCTACACTCAAGTCGCAGCACCTACAACCTCAGTCCAGAGTGTGATCCCTCTGCCTCACTCCATGGACATGGCTCACAGAATAGTTTTTATAAAAAAAAAAAAAAAAGCAACTCAAGCTTCCTTGGGATAAAAGTTCTGGTTGCCATGGTTATTCCCATTGCAAGAGTTCCCATTCCCGATCCTCTTACTATTTATGGGACCCACACTCTAACCATCGTTAAATGATGTCTTCTAGACTCTAGGCTATAAAAATGCAGATGGTGGTGACTTTGAGGTATCAGCCACTATCTGCTGCCACACTCCTTTTAAAAACAGGACACATGCATCATCTAGTCTCCTCTAGATGGCCGGCAACAAGAACTGGAAACCTCGCATCCCAAGCCCATGACCCATTTCAGGAGGAAAGAGCCACAAACGATGTTATTGTGAGACTTCCTGAAGAGTTTAGGGTTTCCAGTTCCAGAGAGTGAATATAAGGTAGAAAATGAACGTGAGACAAGCTGCCAGGAGACCAACCATGAGGTCACTTAGAGGACACTAAGTAGTGTCAAGAGAGAGTAAACTATGAGCTGTAAAATGGCCTGCACACAACTGATAAAGCTCCAATGATTCCAGTATAAGTCCTTAATGCTGAATATGGAGCCTCGTGGATTTTTGTTTGCTTTGTTGGGTTTCACTATTTCTTTGGTTTGACCTTTCCTTGATATTTTTCTATTCCTTCCTTTTGGGATGGGAATGATTATTCTATGCCTCTCTGTAGTAGACATATATAATTTGGTTTTCATTTTATAGATGTTCACAGCAAGAAGTTTGTTGTGAGTCTCAGAAGAGACTATGGACTATTGAACAGTTTGGGGACTATTTGTAGAAGGAGCAGCGGGCTGCGTTCCTACCCAGTTCCCACACGGCTAGCTTTATACCCAAAATAACAACACACAAATTGTATTCTTTTAAACACTGCTTGGCCCATTGGCTCTAGCCTCTTACTGGCTAATTCTCACATCTTGATTAACCCATTTCTAATTATCTGTGTAGCACCACGAGGTGGTGGCTTACTGGG